ATAAACGCCTTATAGGTTTGAGGAAACTATACATACTAAGGTAGACAAACATTGTAGTGATTAATGTTTACTATTTAGTTAGTGTAGTATTTTGGTTAATTTAATATTTTTTAGTATAGTAAATACGTAACTGGTAGACAGATATATTCAGGAATATGGGGCATTCATTCCAAGAAAATTCTCAGCATTTTTGGTAAACGCAAAAGTAAAAAACGACTGATTACTTTGATCATCTTGATATTTTTCAAGAGTTATAGTTTTCGCTGAAAATGGACTCTCGTTTTAGGCATTTTATTTTTTATTTCAAAAATTCATACGTTTTTTTGAAAATGCAACATGGTGTCTTAAACATTTTTATGTCACGAGCATGTATATGTATCGTACTGCTCTTAAAATTTTGTTCTGAAAAATTTCAGTTTCACAATGCGCAGTGATTAAGGGTGCTGTAAAGTACCCGCAAACTTAAACACGGAACCGGTTCATAAAATTCATATATTTTTAACACAACTTTATTAAAAAATCAGAACGTTTTGGTCGTGAACCAAAATTCAAAGTATTAAAAAAAGGCAACAGAAGCCTGAGAAAATACCATATAGCGCCGACGTTTTTGTTATAAATTAATAGTTTATTTTTCAATGTCAACTTAAAAATGCATTAAGCTTATTTAGGAAACAAAAAAGTTATTGTCTTTGCCATTTCTATTGAAACACCACCTGTTGATTTTGCTTAAAATTTAGCAATTGGTAACAGCTTTCGCTTGATTGACAACGGCTTTTAGTTAGAAAATTGTCTGAATATGAACGTTGCCAAATTTACGATTAACGCTCGGGACGTAATGATCGTATTAAGAAGTTTGTACACCGAAACAGAAGAATTTGAAATCTTAATATTAATATTTAAATGATTTAATAATTACCAAACTTAAAAAAAGCTGTTTTATTACGAACATGTCATACAGTTTCCTATATTTCTCGAAGAGTATGATTATGTCGGTCCGAGTAGGTTTAGGACAAATAAATCAGAATAATATAAAAGCGACTTTCAGGTGATGCGCTGATAAATGATCGGTAATCAGAGTAATCACGCTAGTCTCATGGAGATGGGACGAGATTAGAGAATAACAGCAGACCAAGGAGTTGGAATAATATTCTAACCTCGTAGGAGACGAATTTGTATCCCATGTTTCTGGGATCTCGAAAATGGCTTTGCTAATCTAATCAATGCGAATCATTACGGGGTCTTGATACCCGTAATGATAGAAGTCTTGCCTGAATGGCGGTTATTTCGGGGTCAATGGCTGGTCTAATAATAATAATGTGGTCCTACTGGTACTACAAGCGAACTAAATTAAATTACAGCATAAACACTTTTACTATAACATTTATTTGTATTTATTCCATTCCCAAATATATGAACCAGAGTAAGTGGTAGTAAATTGACCGCGTTCTTCCTTCTTGTCTCTTTCCAGTCTAAGCCATTTTTTCGAAGACTTCAAAATTTTTTTACGAGCATATATAGCCCATATTAATGCATATATTACGATTGAACACAATATAACGATACATATCACCCAGGAAATTATTTTCTTTTCTTTATAAGAGTCATAGTTGAACAAACCAGCTGTAAATATTACAGAATTGAGAGAGAACAATGTTATTAAGAATATTAAAAACAAAATAATTATTAAGCTATACAGGAAAAGTCTGGTAAGTGTGCCGAAATTGTAATCTCCCATCGTCTTCAAATTTTGTGAATATTGGCCGAAGCCATAAACTAAAACGATACCAATAACAAACAAACAAGAAAGAGGTACGATTATGAAAAGTACTGGGATATAATACAACAAAAGAGAGGTGAAATAACCATTTGTTAAACAAAAAATAATTCCAAGAAAACACAACACGCTACAAATTAATAAATTAATAAGCCAACGGTGTTGAGACAATTTCATGACATTATCATATACTGCCGTCATTATAGCTTCAGCAATTGCAATCTGAGTACCAAGAACTATCAAAAAGAGCATAAGGAAAAATATAAGACACCAATAATGTTGTCCTGATATTGTCGAAAATGACTCAGAGTATATCATGTAGATAACACCAATGGTAGTATCTGGTATGTGCCAGGGCAAATGTGCTACATCACAAGAAAATGACTTAGCAAATGAAAAAAATAAATAGAAAAATATAATAGAATTTATGTAGTTAATTATACACAGAATAAGAGAATCAATCAATATAAAATGGCGAAAACGACAGTAAGAACCATACACTACCGGTATACCTAAATATATTCCTAATTCGAGCAGCACCTGCATTATTGCTGAACACCACATTCGCAAATTGAAAATACTCTCATTTTCCGTACCATGTGCAACCAATCTCCCAGTACTTTTCACTTGAAAGGCGACAACTAGCAAAGTTAAAATTGCAAAATAACAGAAAATTACCATAACTATAGCAAATTTTCCTATACTACGACAACTGCGAAGAGTTACTATATAAACAATAACCCAAGAGAACAGTAATGATAACAGCAACCACCATTTCAGCGAACCTATGGATGATTCTGGTGTAAATGATGTGTTGAGAACAATTTTGTAAAAATATTCTTTTGATGACGTTGTCACATTACTTGAGATATACCACCAATACGGCAGACAGTTGTCTTCTTCGTTAGACGAAAAATCGCTGCACAAAGTCCAAGGAAGAATTCGGTTGAAGCAACGGGCAAAATAAACCAGAGAGTAAGCGGCAAAGATGTTGTAGTACAAAGATATTATTAGGCAAGCAAAAACCATTGCAACGCCTACACCAAAAAAAAGCGGGGCACAGTGCCAAATCCATAAAAGTCCAAATTGACCATATTGTCCCATTGATGTTTCCAGTACAAACAACGGGTAACCAATAACTACTGTGGCCACAGTATACGGAACAATAAAAATTTCTCCATACCTGAAACAAATTTGATAAAATATGATACGTTACTTCAGGAGGAAACAATACCGGTATATGTTTATTGGAAAATGATAAACATTGCTTAATGACAAACTGAAGGAAATGAAGGCTAACAGATAAACCAATCTATTCCTCCAATAGAGTCTTACCAACTAGAATTTGGACAAGCAGTTCAGTGAGGAGAAAAATAAACCAGATATTACGTACTTCAAATTTTGGTTTGGTGGTAGCTTCAACTTCTTTAACAGCAGCCTTTTGGACGTGTTCTTCAACTGCCCGATCTTGTTCCACTATAACTTCCTGAAAAGTGGAAGGTAGATTTTGCAAATGCTAACAAAAATTCTTTACCCTTGTAGGTTGCTCCGGAAAAAGGCTAAACATGTGATGATTAAATAGGTTAAAACAAAATAATTTGTGTCGGTGTAGCTACACTTACCAAACAGCATAACCGTATGATGATAAAGTTTTCGCTGAGATAGCTCGTATTCTGGTCCTAGGTTCTGAATCCATTGTTTGAATACAAGTCGTAGAAATTTATTTAATCCACAAAAACAACAGTTTTGTGTTATTTAAAGAGAAGCAAGTATTTTTGACATATTCGTTGACAATATGACAAAATATTTAAAAGAAAAATATGTCATTCGATATTTAGGTCTGCTACTGAACATCATAGTAACTGCTAAAAATTGAGCAGTATCAAATTCACTGTTTTAGGACAAATTTTATAAGTTAATTGGTACTCCTACAATTTTTGCAGTTCAAGTAGTAGTGCAATAGTCAGTAGGTATCGGTCGATTCCTTTCCAGAGTCGTTGTTCGACAGCAGTTTTCCATCACGGACAGTCCATTAAATACAAATTAAATATTAACTATCGAAAAGTTTTTGAGTTATAGTGGGCCAGGGCATACGCCATGTGGTTGGTACTACTGACTTACAAAACTAACGAAAACAGTGTATATGTGAAAGTTTTGAAATCAACTGCACAATGTTAACACCATCGTTAGTTAACCTTGATGACTACTTCGAAGTACTTTAATACGAATTCCTGAAAGACCCATTTTATTTATATTAATTTTAATTAATAACTTTTTTCAAACAAAACACTTATGAAACTAAGTTCAATTATTTAATTAGAACATTTATTAAATCATCACATTTTAAACAGAGTAAGTATCATCACTGTTTCAAAACTTATCTTCTTTGCAATTCATCAATAGTACAAAATTTACAACTGTTGATTGTATTTAGTTGTGGTAACTCAAACATCCAGCCAAATCAAATATATACACATTATTTTAAGGCCCGGAAAAATTCAAAATTTGGCCTTAAACTGTGATCGTCAAAAAATGGAATCTTGTGTTGTGTGTGTGTTGTTTTTATGGTGTAATCCGTTACCCTACACACCTCATCACTATGCTCAAAAAACCTGCCGCATATTTTACGCTCTACCCCGCCTTCGCAAAACTGTCAGCTGTTACCAAATTGCGCGTTTCATGCGGATGTAGATTTCTTCATGAACTTTATCTCCCGTTTTCGACTTCAAAATTTCAAGGTCCGTCCTCTCAAAATAGATAAATATTTAAGATCAGTTTAAATACCATAGATAAACTATTTTTAAATCTCGAGTGAGAAATAATGGTGTGTGTTATGATGTAACATCCAGAATTTTTTGATATCATTGTTATAAAATAATAAGTTGAGCCTGAATTTCCGCCACGTGTGTTTATATGACCATTTACATGATAATGTGAATACGTTATAAACACCTAAACACATTAAAAATTGTAGGTGAACATTTTATTTTTTGCAAAATTTTGTCATAATACTTAATAATGTTCATTTTCTAACTGTAGCGTTAATAGAAAAAACATGTATAGTGCAAATCCCATATTTTGATTTTGTTTAAAATAATTGTTTAAAGTGAAAGAATTGTACCTAAAGTTTAGAGTGATTAATCATTACATTAAAGAAATTTCAAACTGTACATTTTTATTTACTAAAAATATAACACTGGCTTTGAAATAAATTGAAGTGTTCAAATCAATAAATGTCATATTAATCAGTTTTCATAATATACAAACTCCTCACAAGACAGTGAACCACATTTTAAATGGATTTTACAATGCAGCTTCGACGAGTTTCCTCAAAAACAAAAATTAAGTTGACAAACTCAAAAAAATCGTGCAAAAAACGAAAACAGCAAAACTGTAGAAAAAACGACAAATGTGTGTGCATGCCAATGCAGCCAAGTTCTTTTGAATTTCCCCGAATCTGGAAAGAACTGCGTCTTAAAAATCAGCTCTGTGATGGAGTAGTCCACTGTTCTGATGGTACAGAATTCAAAATACATCGAGCTATTCTCTCAGCTGCCAGTCCTTATTTTCGAGCACTCTTCACAAATTCCATAAACAGGGGACAGCCTGAAACTTACGAAGCAAATGTTGCAGCATCTGGAAAAATTTTCGCTTTACTTCTTGATTTTGCGTACACGGGCACTTGTTCGATAAATTCTTCGAATGTAGAGGACCTACTCAAATTTGCTGATCAATATGAGATTCTTGGTGTTGTTCAACTTTGTTGCAGGTACTTGCTCGGTATGTTGTAAAGAAGATTGATTATTATTACTCACAGTTTTAATTACATTGACTGTAGATGAGTTATGTTCGACAAACTGTTTGGGAATCCTGCATTTTGCTAATCAGTATTTCTGCAACGATTTGGTCAAGCGTGGACAAAGATTCGTCAAACACAATTTTAGTAAAGTGTTAATGGAAAGTAGCGAATTTGTTCATTTAGATAAAAATGAGCTTAAAGAAATTATAACTGATGATGAACTTAATATAAAGAACGAGGAATTGGTTTTTGAGTCTGTGGTGAAGTGGATCAACTTTTGTCCAAGAAGTAGGAAAATCTACTTCTTTGAACTACTGCGATGTATAAGACTTGGAAATATGGCACGTGATAATCTCATTGCTATTGCTAGACACCCTTTCGTAGAGGAAAAACATGTAATTACTTGATAGCAGTTACCGAATTTGATTATATGCTAAGTTTGTAGGAGTGTAAAGAATACATGGAAAAAGTCGTTTCTCAAATTGAAACTATAATGTGTCCAGGAAAAATCGATATTTCCAACGTCATTTTTCGACCACGCATATCCTATGACGTTCTTTTTGCAATTGGTGGGTGGAGTGCTGGAAGTCCCACCAATTTCGTAGAAACTTATGATGTTAGGGCAGACAGGTGGCTTTTATCGTCAGACACAGATTCAGTACCTCGAGCGTACCATGGTTTGTGTACTTTAAATGGTATCATTTATGTAATCGGTGGTTTTGATGGTAACCAGTACTTCAACACTGTTAGACGTTTTAATCCAGTAAATCATATGTGGAACGAATGTGCGTGTATGTATCATCATCGTTGCTATGTCAGTGTAGTAATGTCTGACAATAAAATATATGCTATGGGTGGTTACAATGGACGAATTCGAATGAATACTGCAGAAAGATACGATCCGATTAAAAACCAATGGGAAATTATTCCTCCGATGCAGAAGCAAAGATCTGATGCTAGTGCTGCTTCTCTCAACGAAAAAGTTGTTATTCTTAGTTTTTACAAAAATAATTTAATTTTAATCAAGGTTTTTGATGCAGATATACATTGTCGGAGGATTCAATGGTCAAGAAGTTATGCGCTCTGCTGAAGTTTTTGACATTAAAACAAGCCAGTGGTCATATATTCCCCAAATGATTTCGGCAAGATCTGGTGTTTCTTTAGTTGTCTATGACAATACTCTCTATGCCTTGGGAGGTTTTAATGGCTACGTAAGATTAACCAGTGGTGAGAAGTACGTACCAGGAGAATCTCCTTGGTGGACCGAAGTTTCAGAAATGATGACCCCAAGAAGCAACTTTGCGACTGTTATTTTAGATGATTACATCTATGTTATAGGAGGATTTAATGGTAAGTCATTCGGTCAAGTTCAACAAAATTTGATATTGTTTTTCCTACAATTATTACAATATAAAATTCTGATTAATTGAAGACGTGAGTAGTTAAAGGTGATAGGTCACAATTGATGCACTTAAAAGTATTCTTGACAAATGAAAAAATTATTCGTAAGAATTTTATATGTGTCTGCAAAACTTCTAGAACTACGTTCATGCTATTTGAAATACCAAGTTAAATTTGGCATGTTACCTTTTGCTTTTGAGTTCTTCAATTGCTAGTTTCTCGCAATTCCTGGTACAATTTCTAGACAACTTCGTGTCAGGTTCTTCGACAATCAATTTCGTGGAGTATTACGATCCGGAAACCGACGACTGGTATGACGCTTCGCCAATGAATCTCAACAGATCTGCTCTGAGTGCTTGCGTCATCAGTGGCTTACCAAATACCAAGGAATATTCAGTTTTGGGTAGAAGTCAACAGGAATGGGGACAAGGAGCTGAAATTGGTACAACTTAATGTGTTTGAAGATTTTAAAATATGTGGTTCTTGCCTTTTTATCTATACCATGTTTATTATTTAAATTTGTCAGTTTTATACAATAAATATTATCATTTGAAACTGTGCTGAACTTGTTTTTCTAGTTAACTACAAACAAACAATTCTGACTAAATATATCTTAGTAAAAGCTATAATGCTCTTTAGATGGAAAATGTTTCAATATTTAGGCACGTGGTGCATTATAATTAATAATATGTACCTATAATATCGCTTAATATTCACAGCAGTAGCTAGCAAAATCAGTACTTAAAAAAGCCCAGAACGATAATAGAACCGTTGGCATTTTTCCAATATTTTTTTGTCGCATTAGAACTAGATTCCGAAAGCGATTTTAATATTTCAAAATAAAGTGATTTGTTTGAGATAATTACAATCCAAAAAGATGTTTTGCGATGAAATTATCATTGGAATGTTATTTTTGTATCCAGAGAATTTTTTACTCTGTGAAAATAAAGACGATACTAACTATGTGAACATTCCCTAAATGACACTATTTCAGTAACAGGTATTTAGAATACACGATCATGGATGTCTTTTTAAAACTTCAGTATTTTCAATTTAATTTTCTGAATATTGGTAACTTTCTTCTCTTCGGGTATTCCATTTTAAAGATTGATATAGAAAAGAGTTTCAGAAAACTAAATCCTACAACGACAACTCATCCTGATCACATGCTTTCATTTCTTTTAAAAGATTGTGCCACGGTATTTCCAACATTCTTAACTACAGTCTTTAGTAGTGCAGACGTAAATCCAGACCTATGGAAAGTTTCGTGGGTTTTACCAGTATCAAATCTGGAGATCATTCTGACATCAAATTATCGTCCCGTTACCATTATGAATAATTTCGCAAAGCTTTTTTCTGTGTTTTCCATCCTGTTCTCTATTCGTATGTTGTTAATAATATGGTATGTACTAAACAAAGTTATGAGAGCAATAATCCTCCAGTCTCCATCTAACTGTTGGAATAGTGTTGGTAGAAACTATATTGTCTGTAAAGACATATGGTCGGTCGACCGTGCGGTAATACGAGGGCAGAACATTGCACACACGCACAATTAACTAGATCAGTGACAACTCACAAGATTAAAACCATCGGGTAGCTGAGTGGAAGGTTGGGAAAACTTAACGTGACGATGGTGGCTAGAGTAAATTCTTGGAGATACTTCTGCCTGGCGGCGGAAGTTGGGTATAATGGATAAACCAAACTTCCGACGGACCAACCAAACGGCTGAATTGGACAGACTTTACTGAATAGATCTAATGCGGTTTCCTATTTATAGGACTTTTGGTCCGTTTCCCACGCTATTAAAATCATAAAACGAGCGGTCTAGACATTCTTGAACGTTGATATCACCCCTTAACTCAGATTATCTTAGATTTTAATTACCTTTGGAGCGATCTGATTGGTGGTCGGTGTACATTCTGTCCAAAATGGGGTAAAGAATGTGTCTCATGTATGAACTGTTGAAATGATTTGATAGCTGGACAGTAAATTCTATCCATATTTGAGTAAGAAATGTGTCTCGAGCGAATTCTTGGAAAACATTAGAACAAAGAGACGGCTGAGATGTGGATTTGCGAGGCCGTGGAAAGTAATACATGATTTTGATGGCTAAGTTATTTGACGAAGGGCGACTTTGCACTCTAAAAGTGTTCATTTAAGGACGGAATTTCCGGTCCGCTATACGTGTGCGTGATTTGGGTATTAATTTTGATACCAAATTAAGTTTTGTAGATCATATTAATTTTGTTACGACGGCAGCTATTAAATATTTAGGTTGTGTGATTTGCTATTGCAGAGAAATCAGTCGATTTGAAAACTTTTTACATTCCTTTTATATTCTATAATTGAGAATCCTATTTACAAAGCACACAGGTATATCCAGTATACATAGAGTATGAGCCCTATAGAAATGAGGATGCGTATACAGTGCAGAATTTTCCGCAAGAACTGTGTCTTGATACTATTTCATCTTTTGCACCTTAGAAGAACTGACTGTTCACATTTGTTAAGTAAATTTGAATGAAAAAATTAGGTTAAGAAATAACATAATTATTAGAGTAGCTAAACTGGAAACTATGAAAGCTTTCGACGTTTCATGACCCCTAACATTAGGTCTCCCATTTCCGTCTGTCTATCTGTCTGTCTGTCTATCGTCTGTCTGCTTTCTGTCGTCTGCCATCTATGTCGATTTTTATAATTTTCCAAATTATCGGACCGATTGTTATCAAATTTTATATCCACGTTAAGAATATCTTGTAGATGTCCCTTCAAATTTTTTTTCAGTAAACGACCTTTACCTATACCTGTGGTATATGAATCTGTCTTGATTTTTTACCCTCGTCATCCAGGTTCTCGTAAAAAAAATTCAAATTGTATAAGAGCACTGACGTGTGGAAACTTGCTTGGCCCTGCTGTAAAAATGTTGAATAACTAACGCGAAGGTCACTGGTTCGATTAACTCATGGGTCATAATTCTTTTTATTCATTAAACCAAGAACGATTCAGTGCATTTCTCGAAAATTTGAGAATACAGTAATGTTGCACCCGCCTATATTTAATAATAATAAAATAAGTATTATCAAAATACTTCCAGTTTGTTACTGAAAACAATATTTAGAACGTTTTCTCCATTGTAGCTTAATTAATAATTTTAGTCGCCTCTTCTATTTGTTATCTGTTCTAAATATATTTCGTATTGTCCGTATCTGCATAGCATGGTCCTTTATCTGTATTTTAACATTCCATACAGATTTTTATTTTAAGTTGTAAGGATACTCAAAAAAAAATGAAATAAATACAAGTCGCAAAATTAAATTTTCTTTCGAAAACATTTAACATAATACTTGGTTGTTGTTCGCTGTGCAGACTGACAATATCTTTCATTCACTGGGGACATTTTTTTTCTGTTTATTTGTTGCCTTTTTCTTTTTTTTTTACTTCCTGAACGTAACTAAGGAATTATTGTTGCAGGGTCTATCCGGCAAATAGCTACTTTCATGATTTTTCGAAGTTTCAAAATTTTGCTGAATAAATCCTATCTTAAATGTGCAAAGTATGATGAGTCAATACTTGTGATTTATCACTGCATTAATATTTTTTAGATTTGTTTATACAGGGTGTCTCAAAAAATTAATGACTGAGTCAATTTATTTTATTGATTAAATCAAGAATTGAAAAACCGAATAGTTTTAAATCTTGTAGACGTTTTGAAGTTATTGTAAGCATGGTAAATTTTGAATCAAAATGTATCTGTTTATCAACCCCAAAAAATTAATGACGTCATCTCAAAATTTTACCGAATAAATTTTATTTAAAATTGCAAAATATGATCAGTCTATACTTGTAATTTATCACTGCATTCATATTTTTAGATTTGCTTATCCAGAGTAACTCAAAAAAATTAATGAATAAGTCAATACTTTGAAATCTTGCAGACGTGTTAAAGTTATTGTAAGCCTGGTAAATTGTTAATCATAACATATCTGTTTATTCACCCCAAAAAATTGATGAGTTTTTACTTGCGATTTATCATAGTATTAATATTTTTTAGTTTAGCTTAAACAGGCGGGTCAAAAAAACTAATGAATGAGTCAATTTATTTTATTGGTTAAATATAGAACGGCTCACTCCATTTTCTTAGATAATTTGGGAAATCCAATACTGTTATTTTTAGTATTACACTGCATCAATCCAAGCTGGTATACGTGTCCTTGTTTTTTTTTGCACTGGTAATACGCTGAGCATGTTGATGACGTCACAAATTTTTTATTGGTCAAATTAAGAACGAGTCACCCCATTTTCTCGAAAATGTGAAGAATACGCACGTCTTTATATAATAATAATAAAATAAGAACTATAATATTCAGAATATTTTGTTGATTGTGGTTTAATTAATAATTTAATCAGTCCTGTGTTTTGAGAAGACAAACTCATTCAAATCAAACTAATTTCTACGTGACATTCTTTCAATGTATAAATATAAATAAACACTTGAGCGTCAGATTGCTATTATCTAATGTTGAAGGTCAAGGGTTGTTACAGATGTATTATTTTAAGTTCAACATGGTGAGTCATCAGAATCTGACAACGGACTGTCAGTCAGTAGCGTAACATGCACACTTCAGAAGGGGGTGGTTTTTAAATTTATTTTTTTAAATCGCAAACAATAACACACGGAAACATAAACTTAAGTGAACTGGTCAACACGCTAGCACGAATGCGAATGAATTTATTAGGCACTAATCTAGAAAGGTACAGGTACCTATCGCTAGTATATACAAATGTTCACTATGACAGAGAAACAATGACGGATGTCTCTGAGGGTGCGCCCATTCGAAAATGCTGAATGTGTTTCATTGCACTTCAGAAGTGAGGGAAGTTCTGTCGAAACAACTTTTGACCAATTTTTTTTTATTCAGCTAGTGAATCTTCTGCTGGACTTTTGCCTGTTGAGTTGCTCTTAAATTATTTGGTAACTCGAATGAAATATTATTTTTTTGGACAAGAGACGGTTCGACACACTTCAAAAAGAGATTAGTGAAGGTTTATTCAAATGTAGGTGTGTGTATTCTTCACAATGCTGATTACTTATCATAAAAACATGACACTATATAGCACTACTCGAAGAATGGTGTGAAGATCAGCTTTGGTACAGGACACGAACCATCTCATTCATGACTATATAAAAGAACCCAAATTCAGTAACGAGAAAGTTTGTTAGTTTGGCAAAATTTTATGTTTGTTTAAATCTGTTCTCTTGCTCAAAATAACTATCCCTGTTAATCACGTTTTTGCTTATCAGAATGTTCTATAGATTAATGTCAATGTCAATGTTAGTTCTATTGTAACTCCGCATTCTCCGACGGAAAATAAGTATGAGACGCACAAGCTGGGATATGAACAGAGATATAGCATATAGCCAATCCGCAGTTTTGTTTGTCCTGAGAATGCCAATATTGTAGATGAAACGCAAGGATTCTTTGTTAAAATTTGTTTCCAGGAATATTTTTTGTTGTATTTATCCTATTACGGTATAGCACTAGACAATACTCTTTGCTATTGTTTTTAACCATTTATTGTCGTTAACAACGACAAACTGTTGTTTATGCCCACCAAATGACAACATTTTGATTTAACAACATAAGGTTTTAATTTGAATGCATGATACGGTTTCATAAAACTTTTCCCAGCTAACTAGAACTCAAAATAAGTGTACGTGTAAACATTCTGAATTAACTATTTTATCTTCGTCAACTTTAGATTACAGCAGTAATCTTTCTTCACTTAGTCGAACTCTGGAAGTAGAAAGAAAACTCAACAATCCATTTATACAAGCTCATTAAAAAAATTACGAGTGAGCGTTTTCAACTTCGTTACTTGAAAGATATTACATCAAATCTTCATTAAGATCAAATTACAATTTACTCTAGTAATGTTGGGAAATTAAACTGATGGTCATAACGCGGAACACTTTAATGATTCATCAAAGTACAAAGAAGTAAAAAATGTTAACAAACATTCGCACGGTGCCACCTGCGCACTGCGCCCTGGTCTCTCCCCCTTAGACGTCGCGACGCTCGCAGGGCGCGGCCCTCAGTCTGCATAAACTAACGAGCGACAACACATCTCTGACAATTTTAGAAACTATACACTTTTACTTTACATTTTCGTATTGACTACTTTTTTGTATATATCTTTTACAAACGACTCTTTGAAACAAAAATGGATCTCAAAGGCAAGGTGGCTCTCGTAACTGGAGGTGCATCTGGATACGGAAAAGAATATTGCAAAGAACTTTTTAGGCACGGTTGCAAGGTAACCCTCATACATTTAATAATTTTAAATAATTTTAAGTTATTTTCTTCAGGTGTCGATATGTGATATCAATACAGATGCAGGAGAAGACTTATTACACCAGTTATCAAAGACTGCCAAAGACAGAGTGATTTTTTGTCCATGTGACGTTACCGATTACCCTCAATTTGAAGGTATGGTGGTTACTGCAAGTAGAATTTAAGCTGACACATAATTTGCAGAGGCATTCCAAACTACAATATCAAAATTAGGGGGCGTGGATATTGTTATAAATAGTGCATCAGTAATGAACGACAGACTCTGGGAACTCGAAGTAGATGTTAACTTGGTAAATCACTCATTTAATTACTTAGAAGACGCAAAAATGTTTTTCCTTGCACTCAGCAATCAACCGTTAAAAATGAATCAATATCATTGTCGGTGTAATAACACTACGACCACTCCGACTATTATCCCACATTAAAATTTTACATCAAATTTATTTCGTAGGACGTCGCATCAAATTGATAGCATGTATTATTTATGCGGCTTCTCAAGTATAACGCTCCCCCTGCTAAGTTTTGGCCAACTGTTACTACACAAATGAAATTTGACAAGAGTAATTTATAGAAGAAATAAAAAGTTCTGACCGGACACCGGGGAATGAAAGTATTAGAATACGACGTCATATTAAGGAGATATATCTATTAACTTTTTGAAATAGTATGAGTGCGTTCGGTAATACTATACTTTATTCCTGCTATAATCAAAAACCAAGTTTCGAATTAGTCAAGTGATAACGAACCACTTTAACAGACCGAGTGAATGTTATTAGAATATTTAAAACGTTTTCTTAAATAATTATATTTTTTAGTACAAATGTGCCGAAAGTTAGACAATGCGTAAGAACAATTATTAATGCCGAAAACAACATTATGGGAAAAATTAAAAGATTCATTTCATTCACACTGTTACAAACGCTGATAATAATTCAATTGTATTTTTACATTTGAGAATCATAATTTCCGAGTTGACTTTTTATAATTAACATGGCCGCTATTTTATAAATTATAAATGACAAGTTGTATTGATTTAGTGATTATAGATATTATTTCGCTTAGATAGCAACATTTATTACTGTACAAGTTACAAATTTAATTTAAAAAATCGTAGATCGTTATTGCTCATTATAAAAATTGGTCTAAAGAGTTTAGACAGTACTTCCCTCGCTGTCGGAAACTTGACGACTGCATGCCTATTGTGTTTTTTTTCTCATTACATTTTTGTAGTGGGAATTTAAAAAAAAATTGCGATGACGTCATCAACATTTTTGCAAGGACACGTATATCAGTTGGGATAGATGTAGTGTAATACTAAGAATAAAATTATTATATTCTCAAATTTTCGGGAAAATGAATTGGGTCGTTTGAATATTGATTTGTAATAATCAATAAAATAACGAAACAATTTACTCACGTATACCTACGTATCAGAGGCATCGTGTATGTATAAACATTGTTAATTTAAGATGACAGGCGTAACAGCATACGTGAGAGCCAAACACAGAAACTGTAAACAAAACGACCGTCGGTTTTATTGCTTCGACTTCCGCTTATTATATAAAACATTGGGTTTCATTTTAATTCTTGACGGTGAAATTCACAATTGGTTGATTATAAACATGTCTATTTCACATTCGCGGAACCAAGTGAACGCATAAAACAAATGCAGGTCTGTAATGTTAAAGTCGATGTAAATAAGCGTGCTACCCTTATGTTTCAACCGAGTTTTTCCTTTAACAAATTTTGTGTCTACCAAATTGGGTTGGTTGGGGTGTAATACTAATAATAAGTGTTGCCTTTAATTTAATCAATAAAATAAATTGACTTCATTAATTTTTTTGAACCACCTCTTAAGAAAATCTAAAAAATATGAATGGAATGATAAATCACAAGTACAAACTCATCATATTTTTTGCATTTTAGATAGGATTTATTCAGCAAAATTTAAGGGTGACGTCATCAATTTTTTTAGGAGGGATGAACAAATACATTTTGAACAAAAGTTTACCATGCTTATAATAACTTTAAAACATTCCCAAGATTTCAAAGCATTCGGTTTTGTAATTCCTGATTAAATTGATAAAATAAATTCACGCCTTCATTAATTTTTTTGAGTCACCCTGCATATGCAAATCCAAAAATATGAATGGAATGATAAATCACAAGTACAGACTCATCATATTTTGTACATTTTAGATACGATTTATTCGGAAAACTTTTGAGCTGACGTCATCAGTTTTTTGTAGAAGATAACCAAATATATTTTGACTAAAAATTTATTATGCTCTTTATAACCTTAAAACATCTGCAAGATTTCAAAGCATTCGGTTTTGTAGTTCCTGATTAAATCAATAAAATAAATTTACGCATTCATTAATTTTTTTGAGTCACTCTGTATATGCAAATCCAAAAAATATGAATGGAGTGATAAATGACAAGTACAGGCTCATCATATTTTGTACATTTTAGATATGATTTATTCGGCAAACTTTCGAGCTGACGTCATCAAGTTTTTGGAGGGGATAAGCAAATATATTTTGACTAAACATTTATTATGCTCTTTATGACCTTAAAACATCTGCAAGATTTCAGAGCATTCGGTTTTGTAGTTCCTGATTAAATCAATAAAATATATTTACGCATTCATTAATTTTTTTGAGTCACCCTGTATATGCAAATCCAAAAAATATTAATGGAGTGATAGTTCACAAGTACAGACTCATCATATTTTGTACATTTTAGATATGATTTATTCCACAAACTTTTGAGCTGACGTCATCAAGTTTTTGGAGGGGATAAGCAAATATTTTTTGACTAAAGATTTATGATGCTCTTTATAGCCTTAAAACATCTGCAACATTTCAAAGCATTCTGGTTAGCAGATTAAAAATTAAATTTCAAAATGTTGTTTTATAATTTTGATTTTTTTTCCAAAAATCTGGACGTTTCGGGTGAAAAGTCGATTCAGAGTTGTAAACTACATGTGTAGGACTATGTTATTTTATACAATTGAAAACCCATTTACTATGTACAATTTTGAAGTGACGTCATCGCTTTACTGGTGGGGATGATTCGACAAATTTTGGTTAGCGTTTTACCATCTACATGATATTCTTAATATAAGTACAAAATTTCACAACAATCGGTCGAGTACTTTCGGAGATTATCTGTCTAATAAAAATCCGTGACAACAGACGGACAGACGGACAGACGGACAGACGGACAGACGGACAGACGGACGGACAGACGGACAGACGGACAGACGGACAGACAGACGGAAATGGGAGACCTATTTCTTCGTCTTCTAGGGGTCATGAAAGATCGAGAAAACGTAAAAGTAGAGAGTCGGCCGACGGACTCGATTACAATACTTCCTTTGCTTACGCTCGGGAAGTAAAAATGTGTTATAATAACTTATATCATAATAGTAAAATAAAGAAAGCATTCAGAAGAACTAAATAAGTAAATGAAGCGATTTTCTTCCATTTTTTTTTACGGAAAATATTTATTATTTTTTATTCTCAAATATATGAATCTACGACAATTGATTGTAAACAATTAGTCACAAAACAAATGGTCACATGCGACGACTAATAAAATAATAAAATTACGTTTTTTTGTAATCTCAATCTGAGCTGTAAATAAATTTAAAATAGAGGTAAGACATAAACATCCAATTAAAAATAGTTTGCTTGTTGTTAGTTAAGTAACGAGCTTTGTTGAAAAAAATTGGTCTAAAGAGTTTAGACAGTACTTCCCTCGCTGTCGGAAACTTGACGACTGCATGCCTATTATGTTTTTTTTTTCTCATTACATTTTTGTAGTGGGAATTTAAAAAAAAAATGTGATGACGTCATCAACATTTTTGCAAGGACACGTATATCAGTTGGGATAGATGTAGTGTAATACTAAGAATAAAATTATTGTGTTCCCAAATTTTCGGGAAAATGAATTGGGTCGTTTTGAATATTGATTTCTTATAATCAATAAAATAACGAAACAATTTACTCACGTATACGGCGCCGGTGTGTAATATCTAGAGAGCGGATTTCTGTCGGGCTAGGCAAGGCCAAACTCGGTACGGCTCGCACGGGATGCGAATTCATTGCCGTTGCGGACTGCACTTCGTTTATTTGAAATTAGAATAACGTTGTTTCGTTGCACTCTGCTGTTAATTCCCGTTCTCATTTACTTAGCCGTTTGATTAATAAATCGTTAATTATATTTATGGAATCCAGCACGTCCCCCCCTATAATCGTGACGTAGCCCGACAGAAATCCGCTGTCTAGTAATATGAGGGGCAACTGAAAATCGTTTATGTATAAACATTCTTAATTTAAGATGACAAGCGTAACAGCATACGTGAGAGCCAAACAGAGAAACTGTAAACAAAACGACCATCGGTTTTATTGCTTCGACTTCCGCTTATTATATAAAACATTGCATTTTATTTTAATTCTTGACGGTGAAATTCACAATTGGTTGATTATAAACATGTCTATTTCGCATTCGCGGAACCAAGTGACCGCATAAAATAAATGCAGGTCTGTAATGTTAAAGCCGATGTAAATGAGCGTGCTACTCTTATGTTTCAACCGAGTTTTTCCTTTAACAAATTTTGTGTCTACCAAATTGGGTTGGTTGGGGTGTAATACTAATAATAAGTGTTGCCTTTAATTTAATCAATAAAATAAATTGACTTCATTAATTTTTTTGAACCACCTCTTAAGAAAATCTAAAAAATATGAATGGAATGATAAATCACAAGTACAAACTCATCATATTTTCTGCATTTTAGATAGGATTTATTCAGCAAAATTTAAGGGTGACGTCATCAATTTTTTTAGGAGGGATGAACAAATACATTTTGAACAAAAGTTTACCATGCTTATAATAACTTTAAAATATTCCCAAGATTTCAAAGCATTCGGTTTTCTAATTCCTGATTAAATCGATAAAATAAATTCACGCCTTCATTAATTTTTTTGAGTCACCCTGCATATGCAAATCCAGTTTTTTGTAGAAGATAACCAAATATATTTTGACTAAAAATTTATTATGCTCTTTATAACCTTACAACATCTGCAAGATTTCAAAGCATTCGGTTTTGTAGTTCCTGATTAAATCAATAAAATAAATTTACGCATTCATTAATTTTTTTGAGTCACCCTGTATATGCAAATCGAAAAAATTTGAATGGAATGATAAATCACAAGAAGAGACTCACCATATTTTGTACATTTTAGATAGGATTTATTCAGCAAAATTTTGTGGTGACATCATAAAT